GGGGGGGGGGGGGGGGGGGGGCAGTGAGAAGTAGAGTGGGATCTATCCCCACTGGTATTTCCTCTGTTGCTGGAAGTTGGAGGAATTGAGGGAAAAGAAGGAATGAGAGAGGAGCGAGCCCGTTACACAGCTAACAATGCTTTGGGTCAATATTGAATTTTCCCGCTTCCAAAACCATAATAACTGGGGACCCATATGGCACACACCCTAGTGGCTATAGATTCATTTCAGAGAATGGTTACATATTATTTTTTTATCCGCCGTACGAAAAAATAGTGCGGTTTAGTCTGATGAATTCGAGTATCCACTTGATTAACCGTAATAACTACTTTTTTCAATTTGTTTTTTTTTCCGGTTCTTTTGAACGAAAGTCGGATCTGGAAATCGAGATGGATATAGTAATATTGTTTTTGGCAGCGATCCGAATTGCCATAACGAAAGAGAGACAGCGGAGGGATGGGGTGAGCGCTCCGAGCGCTCACAAACGACTGAACCATACGACAAATAACTTTTTATCTCTCTGCTCTCACCCCTCTAGCCTGGGGTGTCATTAAATTAAGAACAGAAACCGTGGCGGGAATTAATTCACCAAAACGATCGGACACATTGGGAGAGGGGAAGGGGGCAGGGCGGAGGGGTCCTTCCGCTCGTCTCAGAAGGTACCTGAGGTATGAAATGGATATAATACCATTCATTGAGTAAAAAGTTTAATAGCGAAATAATGGTAGGTATATTTCCCCCTCGTCTCGTACTTTTTTTCCCTTTGTTCCCTTGTGCTCTCTAAATTCTGCTCGTCTGAAATGTTGGAGAATCGCCAGTGATATACCTCATAGCGTGGTATCACGAATTGTGGGAGATATACGCTGCAGTCATGCGCTTGTTACTTCGATTTTTCTCGTTTTACGGGACTGATGGGGCACCGGGGCGCGTCTCTGTGACGGGGAATGTAACCTCAAAATTTAAATGAGGGTGAAGTCGGCTGATGAATTTTATTCGTTTTAACAATGGACGTTTCACCCCATTTAGGGATGTCTATTTTTTATTATGGTATTTTATATATTAGAACTAGGGGCTTCGCTCGCTCCCTTTCATTTTTGTGGGTATGTTTATGTTGTATATTCTTGACAGGTGTTGGATAACTGACATCAGTGGTAGTCATTTTTAACAAATTCGGTTCACCTGAGAAATAAAAAAAGCAAAACATCATGCTCTGAACAGTTTACGATCAACATTTCACAACCATCGTATTTACAAGAAAGACCCCAACCAACGACTTTCGTAGTGAGGGACAACCACTCTAAATTTTTCATTTTCACCCCCATAGGATCCTCATATGAACCCCATACGATCCCCACATAACCTCCATGTAACTCCCATACGACCCTCGTGGCCCTTGTTATCCTTGTGACCCTTATTTTGATTCTTGTGGCCCTCAGTTCTTAAGCCTTAATTTTTGAATATTACATTCGAGTATCAAATTCTTCACCAGAAGTCCACCAGATTTGGATTTTGATAATATAGCGAGAGCCCCACATGAATCCCATGACCCTTACATAGATCCTTATTCTGACACTTGTGACCCTGAATCTGACTCCTCGTAACCCTTATTCTGACCCTCATTATAACCCTCGTGACCCTTATTTTTACTCTTGTGATCCTCCATTTCTGACCATTAATTTTGGAGTGTTAATTTCGAGTACCAAACCTTCATCACCAGAAGTCGATTTGGATTTTTATAATATAGAGAGATATTCAGGTTATAGATTCCACCATTTTCAATCATCAAATTTGTCAATTAAATTGCGTGAGAAAAATTTGAAAAAATCATGAATATTCAGCGTCATCTGAATTCAACAACAATATTCGTTGTTTATAAATAACTAATTGAAATGGTTTAAACTTTCGAAAACCTTATTTTTTTAAGCTTCAAATCGATTTCTGGTAAAGTTCTGAGGATGCATCAATTTGTTACGATTCCGAATAAATGATATTTAGGCTGAAAAATTAATTGTTTATAAATGATTTCGAGAAATGCTCGTAATTCTGAACAAATTCGCTTTTTACATTATTTCATCAATTTTCCTCCAAACCAAACTTTCTATTTTTCTTCAGATTTTTAAAATGTTTTCTAAGGGTTCAATATCGAAATTCAATTATTGTAAAATGCAAGCTCTGATGTTCGACTACAAAAGTAGAAAAGCATCTCACTGGAGAAAAGATAGCCAAAGTACTTGGATAACCTTAATGTAAATATTTTTCCAAAATTCATCATTGAAATGTCATGAGTTAAGACACCCTTCAAAAAACGATAAGGTTAAATAAATATGTTAATTCAACAGAATACATCACCAACGAATATCGTCACTCTCACGTGTCGCATCAGACCGATACCCGGTATAAATAATTCATAGTAAATACACGCACGTCGTAATATACATTCCACAATTGTGTGCTGCCCCCACCCTTGCTCATCTCCTGGAATTGTTCGGATCGATAAAAATATGCATGGGAATTATAATGAAAAAAAAATGGAAGTAGGTAAGAGGAGAGGATGTATGATATTAAAACCCACCCATTGAGATATGGGCGCGTCGATGAGGCGCGGAATGAGAAAGACAGAAACGACAGAGAGGGAAAAATAAACACGGGGCATTAGTACGCGATGAGGCGTGCAACGAGTGTCGCACACCTTCGTATAATGCAGTCCAACAGCATTCACATGATTGCCAACGACCGAATAATACTGCAACAGCGAATGAATAAAAACAGCGAAAAAATAACATTCAGAATGAGGTCGAAAGTTCAACTCTTCGAGTTTTTTAAATTCATTACAATGGAGTAATTACGGGTGAATAGCGTTGTATGTTGACTAATCGATAATTCGAAATTAGGTTGCCCCTGGATTTTCTAGGGCTCGAGTTTGAGTTGGGGATGAACATTGACATTTCGAGTCACGAGTTACCTCGGAGACTGCAGACTACGAGGTCGAAGCAGGGACAGAGCTGAGTGAAGCAGGTGGTGTGTGTCTTGTCTCGTATCACCAGAGGTCTTTAGTTCGCTTTAGAGTCACGTATTCCTTCCGCTGGCATTTGGTGTAAGCCACGTAGTACCGAGTCCCCAACAATTTCCAACGATGGAATTGGACCACGATGAGTATGCTGCAGTGCAAGTAATAATTTTCCGAAATGAGGATACAATGGGTAAATCAATGGGTGGGATTCAAGTGGAGCTCTGGTTTGAGGAGCGGCGTAAACATTGCTAGAGCCAGCGGGGATATTAATTGAAATTTTATCTCCAGCGGTGCTGAATTATGGGTAAAGTGGAGCGACATTGCAGGGTCATTGAGAAAAAAGTTTTCATTTTAAGGAATCTATCACCAATTATTACTGTTACTGGACACTTACTAGGATGAT